GCCAACTAACCCACAGTATTTTTACACTTTTCAAATAGCTTTTCTTGCTAGTTTTGTTACAAGCAAAAGGAAAGATTTGAAAATCCCTCTTGTCTAGCACTTCTTAAAGTCCTGCTTGCTGCTCAGCACAGCCTTAGAAATTAGCCAGTGGTGAGAAATGTATCACACCAGAATGATGCATTCCTTTAGCAAATGGACTGAAAACAAAGTGGGAGTGCAGTGTTTTGGTTGTAGTATGTTGATGAGCCTGTCAGAGCAGAGAAAAAGCACTCTGACTTCTCTGCCTGTTGGAGCCCAGCAGCCAGGGCTGGAACTGAGACATCACAGGACAGGTGCTTTGAAAATGACACAATTTAGGCAAAGGATCAGGTGGCTTTTCTGTGTGATCAAGAGGTTGGTCCTTGCAGATTTCAACATCCTACATCCCTCTTTGCTCCTTGATTGTGTCTCTTTTATGTTTATAAATAATCCTGTAGATTTGAAATGGCTTTTCACACAAGTAAATAATTTCTGTTCCTGCCAATTAGCAAAAGTCTAATTTAAACCTTTTAAAGGTTATTTTATTCAGAAGTGAGTTTCACCTTATTACACATGAGTAGTGCTAATCATTGAGGTGATTCACAGGCATGAGGGATGCAGAATCACCTCCCAAGTGTGCTCCCAAAAACCTGGAAGTTTGTTAGTAAGAAGCCCCACAGCTATAAGCAAGACTGGTGGTTCTGCAGAATCTGGGAGCTGCATTCTGAATCTGTTTCTGCCTTTCTGCTTTGATTTTTTAAAATGTTTTATAGATTTTAAATAAATCAAAAATGCTGTATAAATTCTACGCTACACAGAACATTTCAAATCTTTTTAGATTTTTAGAACTGGGCCTTAGGTATCACCTGGAGGTCTGTAAATACCTGCAGTGGTTTACTGCTGCTAATGCTGTAATTACATTTCAGCATTGACTCACATTTAGGCTTTTTTGTGTTTGTGTTCAGCAGTACAGTTCATTTGAAAAGTGCATAAAATATAAATACCCAAACTTCAAAGATGCTGTAGGAGAGGTAAATTGCCAAATGTTCTGTGATTTTCTCGATAGTTTTATGATAACATAAAGCCAGTGTTTCATCAAAGAGTTTTTTTTATTTGAGAAGGATTGCACCAACTAGATATAAATTATAAATCATGTTCTGTTTTACATGTGAAATGGGAGCTCTGAAGTGTATCACACTTGAGCAGATGGAGGCTAGGTGTTTTCATGTTTTTCTGAGCCTGTTTTGTTTGTGATGCCATTTTCTCTATAATCTAACCTTAAATTCCTTTGCAGAGGGGCAAGAAACTATCACCACATAAATGCAATTATTGACAAGTGTTACTAGGAACAGGGACAATGAGAAAATCATCAGGAACACACTGCACACCCCCCCAAGCCTGAGTGGCATTTGTAACACGCAAGCAATAAGCTAACTGAGCAGCTGGTCAGGTTTCCTGACATTAGAGATTTTATTTAACAAAATGAATGATCAAAACAAGTGAATTAAAAAATGCTAAATATATATTTATTCAGGTAACTGAAGCTGGTTTTGGCTTTATCAATTCTAGGAGCACGGCTGAGTTTTGGTACAATTTATAAAACTGGAAGGAGACAACTTTGAAGGATGTTGTCTAAATAACAGCCTGCTTGTTCATTATTGTTAATAAGCAGTATTTTATTGTGTTTACAAATTGTAAATTGAGCTGAGATTTCTCATTCCTTTGATAGCACCTTCACTACCAGGTAATAATACTAAAATTAAATGACGTTTGAATGAAAAAGATTCCTGACCCTGTGTGCTTGCAAACCGCTTTTAAGAATGAGTGGGAGAGGCAGGGGAGGGAAGGGACAAGTTTTGCAGAGCAGAGATGAGAAAAGGAAGCCCCTGTGAGTGTTACACGGGCAGAGATGAAAGCAAAACAACCCAGAAGCGCCTTTTAGCCAAGGAAATAACTGGTGTGGGCTCCGTGGACTTAGTTTAAACCAGCTGCAAACCAGGATTTTCTGTCATTGTTACTGACCAGACTTTGAACGCTTTTATCAGCTGCATGTGTTAATAGCTTGTTAATGATTGATGCTGAGGTCTTTTATGGCACCAAATGAAAGTGAGAAATAAGTGCAGCATTTCGAGGTGACTTTTGCAGTCACACTCTTTGCAGAATTTCAGCTGTGCTTTAAAACATTTATGCCTGCCAAGATTAGATAGGTTACACTGCAACTCAGGATAACACAGAACTACCCGGGCTGGGCTGTGCATTCAGTCCTACATTGAGCAGGAAAAATACAGAAACCCTCAAAATGAAAAGCTAAATTTTAGAAGCTGATGCAGTTCTGCCAGAGCGTATAAAAGGAGTATAAAATGTATAGGTGACTTGGTGTGTGAGGCAAATAAATACCAGACTTGCTGAATTCTGTCTGAGGAGAGCACCTCAGCACAAAGCATTTCTCAAGGGCTGGGCATTCCAGAACTTCACGCAGGAGCTGAATTCCCTATCAGCTGCACTAAGCCTTTCTGCTGATTGCAGTTCATTCTGTGTGCTTATTTACCTCACATGTAACCACACTCCTCCTCTGCCAACTAAACTAAGAATCTACAGAAATCTGGAAACACTGAGTACTTGGTTCAGGAAAGCAGAGAAAATGTGTAGGTGTCTGTAAAATTTAATATGCATTTATTTTTCCTCTGTTCACATTATTCCTTTTTACCATTACTGCTTGCCTGTCATAAATCCAATTAGTGAGCTTTCTACATTGCAATAAACTGCTTTTCAGGAAGAAAATTTGTTTTGTGAGCAAAGCCTTTTTCCTAAAACATGACTGTAATTTTCTGGTTTTTCACTGCTTCACAAAACATTTAAATAAAACCAATATAAGCTCTAGCACTGAATTTACTGTAATGTTCCCTCTTTCTGCAAAACACTTTTTCTATTTCCAAGCAAATTTGTTAAAGCAAAAAATTAATATAAGGATGAAACAAACAGAGATAATAAAACCAAAATAAAATGTGAAATAGATGCAGAAATCCAGCACAGAATAAGCAAAAACTTAATTACTGGTGCAGTTGTGTAAATTGGGGAAGATCTAGGTTGGAGTCCCTGGTCTGAATCAAGGATTTAAACCCAGGTTTGTCACACTTTGAACAACTGTTGTAATTGCTAGCAATTGTCCCGTGCTCTCTAGGTTTGACAAAAGAAATTCAGTTGAATACCTAAGAAAACTCTCCTGTGAAGGGGATTGTCAGAACTGATATGAAAGGTATATTTCCTGTAAAAAGATAACTTCTGAAAAAATACTGTAGATTATTTTGGTGAGCTATTTATTTTCCTTTCCTTTGATCAAGTGAATTTTGACTCATAACACACCAGAGGCTCCAGCCTGTGTTAACTCTCCATGTTCCAAATGGTCCAGAGTTTAAACACAATCAGAAAATATTGTGAACCTTTCAAGATAGCTTTGGAATAGAGCAGCCCTTGATTCTGGCTGTCATCCTGAATTTGTGTTAATTTTTTTCTGTAGTATTGTAATAATGAGTAATTCTAGGAATTGGGAACCCTGCTGTAATATGTAAATGACACTGGTGAATTGTCTCTGGTCACTGTCCCTTATTCTCATCATTTATTCATGCTTGCTTTTTTTCCTCAGAAATAACAAATTAAATCTTAGGAGACTTGGAGGTTCGAAGGGTTGGTCATTAGTCTTTGCTAAGTCCAGTTCAGAAGAGCTTAGAACAGGAAACACCATTAAATTAAACGTTACAGGGTTTCACTGAGCCTAAATTCAGGTAGCTCTACCACTTTCCTCAAAGGATGTACAAAAGCCTATTGTATGATAAAGAAACTGATTTTTTTTTTCATATCAAGTGATTATAAGCAGTTCATTTTGGTTTCAGAGACATTAGTGGGTTTAGATATTCCTTTATGCAGAATAAAAACCAGCAGAAAACCTTGATGAGTTTTCTGACTGCATCCACAGCCCTTGTATGCTTTCCTGACTGGTTCATTGCAGACCAGAGCTCCTATAAATGAGACCAAGCCTGCAGGGGAGTGATTTCTATTAGCAAATTAAGAAATGGTGGCTTTCAATATATAGTAGTCATCATGAAAATGCCAACTCTTACTGTAATGTAGCATCAAAGAACAATGGCTCCGTTTTGAAAGGAGATTTCTGTAAGTGCTGTTAACAAATGCTGACTCTGTAGTAGGAACTATTGTAGAACATGAACAAATACAAGAGAGGCAGAAGGGGCCAAGAACTTCCTATTTGTTTTTAAAACTGTTCCCTTTTTGCACAGTCTTAAAAAAACCTCTTAGCAGCAGTGATGCTTCAGTGATGCTCAGAGGGGCTGACTGCAGCCCAGCACAGCCTGTCCACCTGCCTGCCTGGGCAGATGTTGGCAGAGCCATGTGCAGGACAGTGCCTGCTGTGATGTCACCCCCCAGCATCCCCACATCACCTCCTGCCTGTCAGTTATTCTGCAGTCAAAGCTCCAGGAAATTAAAAAGATGGGTCACCATTTGGGGTAAGAGCAGAGAGATTAGTAATCACTGTGGGTTATCCTGTGCAAGTTCTGTTGAAAAAATGGAGGTTTCTCATTTGCCACAACATCTTGTTATATTTTTCCCAAATTTATAAATTTTATGTTTTGTGTGGTATTTTCAGGGTACATACTAATTCTCTTTGCTTGCCATGAGTAGAAAAACATTTATAGGAGATGGTTCTCTTGTAGGGGGAGGACAATAAAATGTATTGCCAGAACCAAATGCTTCCTGAACTTGGGTGTCAGGAAGAGCTGTGTCAGCTGCATGTAAGAGAACTGGAATTTCGTCTGGTGCTGCAGGAGCTGAAAGCACAGCAGAGCCAGTGGCCAGGGGTGGTGAGGGCACCTGGAGAAAGCCGGGCTCCAGAAAAGCTCCAGCCAAGCCCAGCCATGGCTCCTTGCTGCTCTTTCTGCTTCGGTATCACCTGGGAAATCCCCCTGCAGGAACCTGTGTGTCAGCATTGTGAATACAGAGCAATGGTTCACCTACCTGGCCAGGAGAAGCAGAGCTGGCAGCACGTCAGGGATCCCCAGAGGGTGGAGAAGGAGCCCCGTTCATTCCCCGTGCGAGGTGAGCGCGATCTGCTCCGGCCCCAGGTCCTGCAGTGTCACTGCCACCACATTGGTCATGGACAGGCACACTGGGAGGGACAAACACTCTGCAGCAGCATTTGCAGTGAGGCAGCAGGTGCTGCTATCATAAAACAGTGCTGTAGCTAACGTGACTTTTTTTAATAAATTTATGATGAGCAGAGAAGAAGTCCAGAGCCATCAGAGAAGCAATTTTCTATAAGTTATTTTTAACTACTAATAAAAAAATTGTGGGTTTATTAGGCCATTAAAGTGTTTTCATTTTAAGAATGTTCACTGGGACTGTCTCTGTTTTCCCTGGGTTTGCTGAAAGGAAACTGATAGGGGAGTTTTGATACAAAGATAGAAGGTGTCGCTGATGAGCCAGCCAAATATCCTCAAAAGCTGAGACTGGATTTTTCCAGTAGTCCATCTTAACCTTTCAAAAATATTTTTATTAATTTCGACTTGATAAAAATTCAGATTATGGTTTTATTCATTTTAAGGGAGATGTTCTCAGAATGTTGGAAAGTTTAACATGTATTGAAATGATAACACTGAAAGATTTTTTGGACTTCAACAAAAGAGCTGTTTAAAAAAAAACCAGCAAGCATCACTGTGTCTAAAGCAGAAAAATATCTTTTTGTTGTTGCAGGGCAGGATCATTATTAAGTATCCTAAATTTGAGTTATAGGCAAAAAAACACCAACCAAAGAAAGTAAAGGGAGGGGAAAAATGTATTTGTCTTCCAAAAAAGCAAAAAAGTAAAAGGAAGAGAACATGGCCACACACTCAGCGGTAAAAAAATATTGCTTCAGTGATAGGCTTGCTTGTGAAAATGGTCCATGAATGTTTTCATGGTTGTGAGACACTTTTTTTTACTATAGTCATGCAAGCTGTGTGTTGCCAAGCTCCTGCTGAGCAACAGTGGAGGAATTACTGGAGCTCCATTCACAGTTTCAAAACTGTTTTGCATTAATGGACAGCCTGAACTGGATTTGGGTTAGGTTTCACTCTGAGCTGCAGCTCTCTCTCTCCACCCCCTAAAATAATAATAATAATTACAAAAGTATGAGACAGGACCAGCGTCTCCACCTCCTGTTCATAACCCAGCAAACCAAATATTATTGCACACATTATTGAAGGGGTGAGGAAAGTGAGAGGTCACGAACTGAGCTGGATGAATAGCTGGAGGTCAGATCAATCACAGCCCTGTGTTTCATGGCTGAGGCTTCAGCCCGTGGAGACTGGGTTAGTTAAACTGCCTTCTACCCACTGAGCACATATTCTAATTTAAACCACAAATTTAACAGCTAAAAAATATGTAAACTAAAGGATTCTTCAGTGTTTAGTAGGCAAATAACTGACAAATTACTTTTTCACTTTTATTAGTGTGTGGGGAGGAGTGGAGGGAAAGGAAGAAATGGACATGGTGGGTGTGTAGTATTGGAAATGAGGCAGAAGTCAGTGCAAAATAATACCAATTTTATGTTTTAGCAGTAATCCTGTGAAGAGAAGCTAGTAGGGAAAGAGGGGAATTGTCTGACATGAGAAATAAAGCCTTTTTTTGAACATTCTCTGAATGTCAATGAATAACAAAGGATCTCAGATTAGACACCCAAAAAATAATGCACATGATACTGCTGTGCCCCCTGATCAGATAGACACTTTTAATTGCAGTTTTGGAGTTAGATCAAAATGCTGGTGGATAGTGAATACAGAATGTTGCTAATGGACTGGGAAGGGGAGAAGGTGGGATTTAGGGCAAACCAACCTGATTTGGTTTGCATCAGACCCCTTTGAAGTGGCAGCAGTTTGTAGTTGCTTTGTGTTTTGCATTGCTGCCTTTTCATATCTGAAGATTCAAACAATAGCTCCTGGTTATTATCCCACATATTATTGATTAAAAGCTTTGCCCAAAGACCTTCCATCTCACTTTCCAGCTTAGTGTGATTTACTTTTCTTTTTACTCCCTGTAACATATGATTAATGCTGAGCTAGAGAGTCCCAGTGAGATGAAGCAGAGTGTCAGGTAAGATTTGTCAGCTCGGAAGTATAGATTATTTTATGTTTCTCGAACTTTGTGGGCCCAGGGAACACAGATCTTGATTGTTAAATCCATCCATACTTTCCCTAGGGCTATAATATGCCAAAAACATTAAATAGCCCACTTAATACATAACCTCATTCTGTATGCTTGACTATTTTGTTTTTAATTTTTCTTCCCTTTCCAGGCTGCTCAAATGAGATGGGATCAAAGAAAAAAATTATCCTCACTGGATTTTGTTAAAATATTAATAGGTTAGGGTTGACTGGCTAAATTGAATATCTATGCTGATCTTGCTTGCATGTTTAACTTGTGCTTAGGAAAATATGTTTCCTAGGTGATAACCTTTTATGTACCAGCCTGACTTCATTGAAATGCATAGAGATAAAAATATGTCACACTCCATGGCCATGCTATTCTTGTGTGGCAGTGTGATTATTCAGATGATAATTGACCCCCACCTGTAGACAGCTCAAATTCTGTAGTCAATCATTCCATTTGATGTTAAAATATGTGAAAGTACAATTATATAATTTACATTACAAATCATCCTGAATGCCAGGCATCTCAGAACCACTGACAAACGAAAGGGGAAAAAAGTCAATAAATGAAGTGAATTACAGGAAAAGAATTCAACTTTTCTTATTTGCTCCTGCACAACAGCTTTTATGTGGGTGTTGTTGATGGAGCTCAAACAGACACTGCTCAGTGCTGAAATCTGACTGCCTTTCAGCCTCTTCCTAAGTTTGGTGATACTTTCTGGATAAGAGTGCCTCCTTTCTCTGTGGAGATGAGATTCGTCCCCAGCAGCTAAAGGGAGAAACATATCCATGTCAGTGCAGATTTGTGCCACAAAGGCAGTGGGCCAGTGAGCTCTGCTCCAAATACCCCAACTTTTAAACTCTTGTCTCTGTAGACTTTGCTGTGTATTTTGAAGCTGTACAGAACAGTTCAAGAGCATTTTTGTGCAGTCACAGATTCCTGTTTGCCATCCACTTACAACAAACTCTGTTGTCAGTCCTCAAAAAATGTGGGCAATGCAACTGAAATCAACTCAGCCCATTCCTACATAGGAAATATGGGCAGTGGTGAGCTTAGATCACATTGCTGGTTCATCCCAGTCTTTCTGTCTGTCTGTCTGTCTGTCTGTCTGAGTGTTGGACACAAAGAATCTAAATTTCACATGAATTTCACGGTAGGTTAAGATTTTCTAACTATGTGTGTTTCTTCCCCACATTATTTTGGGGACATCAGCCCCTTTACAGTAATCTCCAATATTTGGCTGTAGATAATAGATCAGACATGGAATATTCCTGAAATCTCAAGGCTAGGCATTGTAATCCTCTTTTTACTTATGGTTATTCAGAAAAGAACCTTCTTCTTGGGCACATTATCCCATAGGTCTGTACTGGAGCATTCCAGTATGTTGAGCAAGACAGACCCAGCTTGGAAATGTGTAATCAACCTTGTAGCAAGAGAAAACTCAGTGTTAAATCAGTTAAGTCCAAAAAGGGAGCATAAGAACCAACACAAAATAATGCTGCTGGTAAAACAGAACTTAAAGCTTCTCTCCTGCCTCTCCTTGTGCTATCCTGGACATTCCTCAGTTTCATACTGAGGAGCATAAGAAACAGCAAGCGTTAATCTTTTCTGTTTAGGTTTAAAATGCTGTTATTTTGCATTACTGTACTAAAGACTTTGTCAGCTGTAGATTCTCTCTTATAAATTATAGTAATATATAATTAAATTATAAATCACAGACAAGTTAAGGGATAATGTTATCTTATATACAGTGTCTGCAGTACAAAAATAGGTGCACATCTAGATCTACAATTAATAGGTTAAGCAGCTATACACCAAAATTATTACATGGCTTAAGCCTCTATATCTTACAAAGGAAGTAGACAAAGTAAAATTTTTAATCCTGGCCTTCACATTCTCAAATTGTTAGTTAAAATTCCTTGGAAAATTATGTAAAATTTCTTCATGACCTGATGTGTACTCTTTTACAAATTGTGCACAATATTATAATTTCTTCAGCTATCTTTTTCATGAAGTTGAGACTTTTCATAGAACGAAACCAAATGATGTAAAATTGATAAAGTATCAGATTCCCAAATATAAATATTCTAATAATGGTTCATCACAAAGCAATTGTGAAAGAAGACAAAAAGAAAATACAAAATTGCTTCAAACAGCCTGAACATCCCTGAGAGGGGAATAAAAAGCCCCTACTCAAAAGGCTCTGGTTTTCCATGTGGGCTTATTTCTCTGCTCTTGCCTGGCAGTTCTGTGAAAGTTCATCTCTCTTCTCATCACTCTTAATCTGGGAGCAGAAGTATCATAATTTTAGTTTGTCCCCCTGATCTGCTGCAAACAGAAAGAAATTCCCAGTGTTGCTCAGTGCAGGCCTGTCAGGGTAACCTCCAGATAGGCAAATATGCATTTCTCACTTTATTTCTCACTCTATTTCTCTCTCTCTCTTTCCCCCAGCCCCAAGGCTGGTTTCATTAGCTCTCTTTAAAAATGGACACTACCAGAGCTTCATTCAGCCACGAGTGGCTGCAGTTCTTCTGACCTCAGCAAAATTCCTCAGTCATTATCCCAGGTGTGAATTTGGCCCGTTGTCTTTAATTAAAGCTCCAGTCTGCTCTCAGTAAATTTCTCACCCTTTACAAGCATCAAATTATGTTCTTCAATTAGTTGTATCTTTTCTTCTATCCTTTTAATTTCAGGCCCATCAAAGAGCTGGTTTACTAAATCAATTTCAATGGGAATTTACACATTGTGAATCATAATGGGATGCAAAATTGACTTGGCTAATGAATAGTTAGTGGCTTTGGGGTTAATAGTTTTGGGTTTTAGTCTCAGGTACTTTGTATTAAATTTAATTTTGATATTGCTTTAATGAACACAATGTATTACTTCTCCTTTTTCCACTCAGGCCCATCTGAGGTGTATTCTCTTTGCCTGCCTCAATTGACTTGCTTTATGAATAACTGTATGAGATTTCTGTTTAAGAAAAGCACTTCTGCTTGTCCCATTTCTATGTGCTAAATATTTCAGTCTGATGTATA